AAACAAAAAACAGATAAAAATTGTAGAGTAATGAATAGTACCGCACCAGATGTAGCGCGATACTGTTCATTACTCTAGAATAGAGCAGAGATGTAGCGCAGCGTTGGAGAGCAATTTTATCTCTACTCTCGCATAATGCGCCAGAGTAGCGCAGCATTGGAGTTGCTCTTAGGGTTTATCATTGCTATTTCATCAAAGTACAAAAAAGAATTAGTCTAATTGCACAATTAATCAGTACTTAATCGTGTTTACCTTTTTTAACACATCTGAATTGTAATTTGCATGTGCACAAGAACACCCATAATTCGTCTCCATAGCATTGTTTTTTGACTCGGACCGGCACGGCGGGTCGACCCGGAGCCGAAACCGGTCCGGGTAGGCTATTTGGACCGGGTAACAATAGACCCGGTCAAAACCCGGTCGACCTGGGCCATCGACCCGGTCTCTATAAATTTATTATTTATTTTTTTTAATATTTTTGTATATAAAAAATAAAAACTATGTAAATATAATGATATAATAAATATTTATTGTGAGATACAATATTATTAAAACTTAAATGTACAAATTTTGTATACAAAATATTTATTTTTATTACTTTTATGTATATTTATATGTCAAAAATACTATATATATAATTTAAATATTTTAAAATTAATTATTCGGTTCAACAATTGACCCGGTGACTCGATAGACCTATCCGGATCGATTTCCGGACGAGTTTAAAAACTGTGTTCCATAGTCCTACAAATTCCAATTGATTGGTAGATACAATAATTAAAGATTAGACGAACCAATATTATAGATTCTTTCTTCAGAAATTTCCAATTGTTTTTTTTTTTCTTCCTTTTTTGTTTCTTTTTTGTCTTGCCCTATTATTTGATTCCAATTTTGACTTGAGACTCGCAATTAGTGAGCTGGTTTTGGGCCAAGTAATAGAAGGTTGTCTTTTTCAATCATAACAGCAAAGGAATTGTTTACGAGTTACGAAAAAGAAACGTATATTCTTATTTTTTTGTCTCGACACTAAAATTGTTGAAAGACTTGTCTTGTGTCCTAAGCAATATTGAATTGAAGCATAACATATATGATGTTCAATTTGCATGTTCAACATGATTTTGTGCCCACTTAAATTTTAGTTTTCTGTCAGAATTTGTCTTCTGAAGAAATAAAATGAAAACGTCTAAAATTGTTTCCCCCAATAATAAAATATATATGTATTAGAAATTCAATAGAGAAACATATTAAAGGCCCATAATATTTGTTAAATTGAACAGCATACGTACTATTCTTACAAGTCAGATTAAGTGTATATAAAACTATACACTGAAGAAATAAAGAATTCATTGTTTTACACTTGTGGTGCTGTTTGCCACTCAATAATCGGACCAAGCTCTCCCCAATTAGTAAAATATATATTCTCCTTATTATTAGTTGATAAATTATAATAAACTTAAGATATTTCAATAAAAAATTCAATGGATAACGCCAGTAAAACATTTTTAAATTCATTTATATTAATATTTACATCTGTACTTTCTCGTGTGATCCATAATTATATTTCATTGAAATTATTTCTTTAACCGATAATTCCAATCGCACTTCAATTGTATATAAATTATGAAAGTCCAAAAGTTAGTTATTGTTTCAAAATATGTTGTAACTTTTCAAATGAATTAATAATTTTAATTTAATACTAAAATTTAGGTCAAAATATTTTTGACATTGAAATTTTCCCAATTGTTGATATTGAAAAGCCAATTCGATGCTACAAAAGGATGGCGGCATTGATGCTGATATTAGGCATAGAATTGCAGCCGGTTGGTTGAAATGGCGTCAGGCGTCGGACGTCCTCTCTGATAAGAGGGTGCCACAAAGGCTAAAAGGTAAGTTCTATAGGACGACGATTCGCCCGGCGATGCTATACGGGGCTGAATGTTGGCCTACAAAAAGGAAACATGTCCAACAACTAAGTGTAGCAGAGATGCGTATGTTGCGTTGGTTCTGCGGGCACACAAGAAGGGATAGAATCCGAAATGAGGATATTCGAGATAGGGTCGAGGTGGCTCCAATTGAGGAGAAATTGGTTCAACATCGGCTGAGGTGGTTCGGACATGTCCAACGGAGGCCTCCTGATGCACCGGTGCGTAGGGGAGTTCTACAGCGGGTCGAGGATGTTAAGAGAGGTAGAGGCCGGCCTAAACTTACTTGGGAAGAGTCGGTTAAGAGAGACCTTAAAGATTGGAATATCTCCAAGGATTTAGCGGTGGATAGGAGCGCTTGGAGGCTCGCTATCAACGTGCCAGAATCGTGACTTTTGCTCCTTTCTCTTTTTTTTTTTTTTTTTTTTG